ATCAGGTCGCAAAAGCGTATCCTCCACTTTGAACTGGGATGGACTATTATTCCTTGGAACGACGTTCTCGAAGCGTTAAATCATCATTCTAATACTTTGCAATCGATAATACTCAAGTCCGTAATATTTCGTTGGTGGAGGAATGACTTTGCTCTTGCAAGTTGCCCCAATCTTGAAAAGATTCATATAACTTGTTGCGGTTCGGTGACTGACGAGAATTTCCAACCACTTACGACTGCACTATTTCCCAAATTAAAGGAATTGGTTTTCACTCGAACAAATGTACCGTTTGCGATAATTGAAGCGTTACTTGTTAATTGCGGCAGAACATTACAGAGGTTGGACTTTGGGAGCTCTTTAAATTTTGATTTACTTTTAGTTAGGACAATTGCCGAATGTCATGAAATTAGAGACTTCACTTGGTATCCTTCTTGCAATGTTGATTTATTTAAACAATTTCTTGGACAGCAGAGACAATTAAAAACTATTAGAGTAACCGACCGGGGGGCATGGGATTCATCTCCGTTATTAGATTGCACCTACACCCGTAGGCTAAATGTACAATATATTACATAACATAAAATTCCGTTACCACTGACATATTTTGATGGTTCGAGTGGAAGGGGGGGTGAGGGAGAGGGGTGGACAGGGCGGGTTCTCCTCGTATGAGATTTTAATTCTGATTACGTCGTGTTCTCTTTTATCTATTAGAAATCAATGAATGTTTGGTTGACGCGTGCTAGTCAAGTATCTCAAAATGCGCTCGAGTCAAAAAATTTGGCAAAACTAATAAGATCTCAGCATCGGTTGGCATGCTTTCGACTGTGGGGGGTGGATATCCCGCATGAGGCGCAGATGGCTATTTGCGCGCTTTCATCTCAATATCAAACTCTAAAACAGATAGAGATAAGTGGCTATTCGTTTATAAATCCTGAGCCATTTGCAAGCATGGCCGCGTGCGTCAATTTAGAATCGCTCAAGCTAAACTTGTGTAAAGTTGATAAGATTGCAGAACCACCGCTAGTTGAGTCAAATCTCCCTTGTCTAAAGCACGTCGAGTTAGATGGGAGAGTTCCG